GGATTGATAAACAGAGTTCTATATTTCAAGGCCCAATTTATACTGATAGATCTCAATATTAAATAAATATACAACAAAAGCCGAGACAACCTCTCCCTCATAACCCGATCCATCACTAAAAATTTCGTATTTCATTAAGCAGGATCATAAATATTATAACTGATAGAAATACGGTTTGCCGGATGGATCAGACGTAAATTAATGACAGAAAGTGAATTAGCAAAAACTGGGAAATCATCATACTTAAATAAGTCCGAAATATTGTTTCTTAATATAATCTTATCATAATAAAACTTGTAGATTATCGACAGAGACTGAGTACCCGCCAAAACGCAAAGCACCTCACTCGAGACTGAAACTCACTGTCAACAGGTGTACGAATATTGTTGCAGAAAATATCAGAACTGTGAAGGGATTTTGGGAAAATATATTTTATCAAACTATCACCAGCTGTGCGTGCATTCAATCTATTAGAAACCCTCATGCACGCAACGATATATAACACTAAATATTTCTGACGCGTCTTTCACACAAACCTATAATTCACTGCAATCGTTAAATTTGCACATATATATCACTGTTTTTTCATACATGATTTCAAAATTCTTGCAAGAAAATAAAGACTGACAAGATCACTCGTCCTTAACATACATATTAGAATAATGTTTGACATTTTAATAAAACAATTGAACATAATGTGCGTTGAGTACTACATACCTGAAAGTCCTGTATCCGCACCAAATTTCCATGCACCTGAACCACCTAAAATGAACAAATATGCGAGAGCTATAGGTTTTAAAATTTTATTCACTATGAATTATAAATCACTATGAATTGTGTACATAAAAGATAATTTTAGTGAAATAATATGTGGAATTTCTGTATTTTCCCACATGATAATATAACATGAAAAACAAGAGAGAAACGAAGTTTTGCTTTAAAATTAAGAACACAGGAGCAAGTCTATTCAACAATCAGTAAATGCCTATTACGCAATTTTTGCCAAATATTGCCAAACTGACGACTGTTTCGAGGACTAATTTTTATCATCGTGTGTGTGTGATTATGGCAAAGCCTCGAGGGCTATCTGCCTAAGGGGAGGGATGCCTTCGTGGAGGACTTTCTAAGGGAAACTGGCTCGTATACACGTTACACATGGGGAAAACCACGAAAACGCCGATGCAGCCAGCCCGTTCGCGGGATTCGAACCTCGGACCGAAGTACCAGTGTTCAGCGACTTTACCGCTCGGCCGCTGGTATTTTATCATCGAGTTGACGGGAAAGGACCAAACATCTCCAAACTTGGCGACCATTTGGCAATATTTTGGTTCGCAACCTGTAAAACTCAAATTAAGATTTTAATAGAATATCTGTAGTTGACACCTGTATTAGCTGTAAACGTATCTGCCCCGGACATGCTTTCCAGGTTTATGGAGAAGCAGAAAACTTCAGAGAAAAGTATGTTAAACGATTAAACGAGACAATACATCAGTTTCTGAATTGTAATTAGTAGTTAGTATAATACCCTGGAATCGTTAACTTTTGTGTAAGATTTGTATTTCAGAAATCTAACACTAATTCCATTAATACTAAATGGATCCCGCATAGTAATTCACCATAGAAAACATTTAATAGAATTTGATAGAACAAATTTTCCATCTTTTTATACACGATTTCGAAATTCTTACAGGGAAATGAAGTCTAACAAGTTCTTTCTACCCTAACACACATATGTAAAAATGTTTTGACATTTTAATAAAATAATTGAACATAATGTGCATTGAGTACTACATACCTGAAAGTCCTGTATCCGCACCAAATTTCCATGCACCTGAACCACCTAAAATGAACAAATATGCGAGAGCTATAGTTTCAAAATTTTATATTTCTTGTAATTAAAATGCTCCTATTTAAAAAGGAAAAATCCGACGAACTAAGGAACTATAAATTAGCGTTCATTTTATGGCCGTACGTATTACGTGCCTACTAGTATACAACGGGTAACAAGACCAATTGGAAGGTTATTGTACGCCCAGAGAAAACATCTATTTATTCATCTTCGGTTGGAATACAAGTGTAAATTAACATTTCTTTGGGCTTGTTACATAAACTAGAAGAACTCAGCAAATTGTCGCTATAAATTTCTTCATTATTCTAGCTCACGACGAACTGTGGTTATCTGCAAATTCGCTGCAAATTTCATGGGTGTTCTAACTTACGAGGAAATCTAATTTAGCTAGAATATTACAACCTCATTTCTGGTTAAATACGTGAAACATTTCTAACATATTTCGGCACTACAGTTTTCATTACATAGGCCAATCTCGACCGGTGTTTAAAACTATTCCGCAGCTTTTTATAAGTAGCTGTTTGGAAATAAAATTTACTATGCTTATTACGATTGAATGAACACATTTCAATTTGTCAAAAATTTTTTCCCTTTGTTTAATGTTACTACAAGCCATCAAAACCCATGTAGAGTGTTCAGATTTCTGACAGCTGAGATTTCAATTCAGATGCATAATTTTTGCTGTGTTCTATCAATTTTTAGTGTAAAAATGCTCTAATCTGCAATTTCCCCTACGAAAATTTGTTTCGCTGAAACAGGGAGAGCTCTTCCTGTGAGCCCCTAAACTTAAAAGGATTTTAATGAATATACAGATTATTCTTAATTTTAAATCAATGACTACATGTTTGAAATTAACCTAAAATTTTGAAGTACTGTGATGTAGAAAGGGTGGATACACATTTATGATACAACTTCAAGGTATGGATCAGAACAAAGATATGAATAATATTAACATTGGAACTTATGTTTGCAATCCAGTTATTTACGCATAAATACGAATTTAAGAGCATTTACAATAAAAAACGGTAAAATGCAAATGAGATGAGATAACATCCCGCATGAATTGTTTCATAAGAAGAGCACACATACAAAATATCTTCTTTATATTACGTCACGAAGTATATTTCCATATTAGTAATTTGTATAAACATGTATCGTTGCGGCAGAAGGTAGTAGGTTTGCATCTCAGTAGGGAAATTTGCTATTCGCGATTATACTCTCTCCAATGATCAGAGACTTTACGTATGCCGAAAGAGCAGATATGGAATACACGCACGGCCGCGCAAACGGTAATGCCAGACCTGCGCAACGAATGTCCCACGCGCAGTTTCTCGATAGACGAAAAACAGATCACAGAATTGTTTGATCGGTAACATCGTCAAATATCTGAAATTTGTTTGTATTTCTCCTCAGAAACGATGCTCTTCGACGACGAACTCTCGATAATCCAAGATTTGAATGAAGGACTTATAGACCCGAATGAAGAACAAGAGCTGTTGGTGAAAGCTTAGGTGTGAACCAGCGTAACATTCTGAGAGCGTTTCAAATGAAAATCTTTTACTCCACTTCCATTCACACTGATTACAAGCCTTGAATTCCCAAAACTATGCTCTGGGACTGAAATTCATCCAGGGGCTTTTGCAAGAAATTGCATTGCAGCCGGTCACAATCACAACAGCTCCTGCGTTGACTACAGATGAGGCGACATTTATCCGCCAGAATGTATTTGAAGCGCCTAATTTTCATCTATGAGCAACTCAGAATGGAAACTTTGTGCGACCATATGCATCTGAACGAAAAATCAGTGTGCATCTGCGGTGAGGTATCTTCCACGAGTTTTTAATTGAGCCATACCTATTGTTGCAGCGACCAAAACACAAAAGGTAGCTTTTTCCTGGAACAAGTATTACCTGAAATGCTCTAGTATGTACTCATCTTCATTGGTCAGCGAATGTATGCTCAGTATGATGGTGCACCAGTAGATTTTGGCATTGAAGCTGCGAAAGGTATCTGACATATTTGGCAGTGTCACAAATCTTTACACCGATGTTTCAAGCATGTGTCGCTGTTGGTGGTCGTAAATTTGAACTGTTCTTGTAAAAATCTTCTTTCAGATGAAATGATACACCCCGTATTTATGACTCAATAAATGTACTTCCACCTAGGTTTTCTATGTAGATATGGTTCATATTCTAGTTCTATACCTCGCTTCGAAGTTTGCATAATGAATGCGCAACAATTCGGTGAAGGTTAGTAAAAATTCATTAAAAGCAGAAAAATATCTTTCACAAATGGTATTTTGTGAACTATATTCGAAAAAAAAAACAGTTATTAGCACCAATAAGTCCGATTTAAAAATATTGATCCGAGTTAAATGTTATACATTAACTAAAAGTAGTGTTTTCAGAAGTGAGCTTATATAAATACCTTTAGTTTTTGCTGAATACATGAAAACATGAGCACTGATTTTTCTGATAGTAGCCAGTGTTATTGCACTGAAAATGCAACTTTGATTCTGATCATTATAGATTGTGTACATAGATACGTAATTTTAGGGAAATTATATGTAGAATTTCTGTATTTTTCAGTATAATAATAATTATGAATAGCATGACAGAAATGTCGTTTTGCTGTAAAATTAAGGATACTGGGGTTAGTCTATTGAACATTCAGTAAATGGTTTTCGCACTAGTTTGGTGAGATATTGCCAAACTGACGACTGATTTGGCGACTAATTTTTGTCATCACAATTGACGGCAAATACCTAACGTCTCCAATCCTTGCCACAATTTGGCAACATTTTGGTCCGCACCCTGTGTAACTGAAATGGATATTGTAATTGAATAACTGTAACTGTTACCTGTATTAGTTGTAAATGTATTCGGCCCTGACATGATTACCAGGGATTTCGAGAAGCAGAAAGCATTAGAGATATCTCGGCAGTGGGTAGAAAGTTGTATAAAGTGAAAAAGAACATCAGTTTCTCAGTTGATGTTAGTAGTTAGTTCATCATGTTTCCAACCACTGAGATAACCGCGTGTTAGCTCCGCTCTCCATATGCGTATTGTGCTGAGCCCGGTTTAACGTCCTTAGTAGTTTGATGTGTACCTACTGAATATACTCTGTGTTACTGTGAATAGATTAGTTAGTTAGTTTTAAGCACTGACCCCCAGCCCACCTAGCAGTCGAAACCTGCCATATGGCTATGACTGAACAGGCCAAGCCACAAAAGCATAAGAAAAAAATGTAAATTAGATACATACATTTTAAACACTCTCGGTGGAATAGTATATAAATGTGTCGTTTCCATTTCTGTGTTTTTTCTTAAGTTTAAAATCTTTATAAGTTTTACTTTCCACCTTACATTTATAAAATACCGCAATTATTTCTGTTTTCAGTATAGTTTTCTGCTTTGTTATATCTCGATACCATTATTCTTCTTATTCTCATTCACAGTTTGCATATATCTCTTTCAAATTTCTAAACAATTATAGTTATAAAAATCCTCAAACTTTATTATTTACTCGCAAATTATATTTTTCTAACACTTCCAGTCAGGCAAAGTCCCTCGAGAAGTGCTTTGAATCGCCCGAATTTATTACAACTTTACGCAATCATTTCCCTGGAGGTGGAACGTTAAGTAAGCAGGGAACCTTCCAGTGCGTAAATTTGATTGACTTGCATCTCCTAAAATTCCCATTTTTGTTCCTAATTTTTAAACATTTTAGATAGTGTTTTGTTTCTTCCAGTGAGATCCTTAAATTTTCCAGTCTCTAAAAGCTTGTCATATATTATAGTACATGTCTCTTTTTTCGAATTAAAAACATTTTCCGTCCGAACCCCCACGGAGGCTTCTTTCGCTACGCATCTCTTCTCCTTCCCATAATGACCAGCGTGAGTTTTGATCCAATGTAAATTCAAAATGTGCTTCTTTCGTTGTTCTAAATATATATGCTTAATTTCATTAACAATATTATTCTTTTGAAAGTGACGGGAGAGCGCCATAAGAGCAGATAAGGCAAGTGAGTATAAATTAATGTAATACCACACGGATAATTTCTTGATCCAGGATAAAGCCATTTTAATTGCCAAATATTCTGCTTGATAAACGGAATTTCTTGGTTTAAAAGGAAACGTTTTTTAATCAATTTCAGTACCGTGGAAAAAATACAACAAAGGCACAGCCGATGCTCTCCGCAAACCCTGATCCATCTGTATAAATTTCAATTTATCCAGCTGAAATATAGTCTTTATCATAGGATCGCTAGGATGGCTTGAGCTCATATCATGTTCTAAAAAAGCCTTGCTGGTAATTGCTTTATCTTCATACATTATTTTCTGTTTTATATCATATTTCAGACAAAATTTGTCCTAAGTAAATTTAAATTGTAGTGAGAGAAGTGGTACACCAGCCAGTAAGCACGCAACTTCTGTCGGGACTGTTCTAAATGATCTTGTAATTGCAAGTGTTCAGGCCCTCTTCAATGAGTCTAATTTCTGCCTTGTCTTCACCAGCTCCCCCGTTCGATCACTCGATGCGCCAATACCATAAAGAATTTTCGGTATAATAACATTTTTGTAAATATCCCTCAGCTTTTGTCAGAAAGAGTGATCGGAGTAAAAGTATTTTATAATAATTTAAATTTTTTTCTATCTTTCGTTGTATTGACTTAAAATGCTCTATAAAATTCAACTTATCATCGATCACTACACCCAGGTATTTAAAGGTATTCACAAATTTTATTCTTTTTTGATCATATTTCAATCTGGGGGTTCTAACATTTCTCCCTCCCCGAAGGAAAAACATACCATTTGTTTTTTCAATATCAAATTCTATATTTTGCTCAGTACTCCATTTTCTTAAAAACATTTTCAAGCAGGTTAAAAGTAGCCTCTATTTTTCCGAGGGAGTCTTCTATAATAGTTACCATAATATCATCGGCATAACAGGTAATATTCGTATCAGGTGCGTTTTCTTGCAGTACTTTATTTGCTATGAGGCTCCAGAACAGGGGGAGCCCTGGGGACAGAATTTTTCAATTTTATAATAAAGATCAATTGTATTCGAGTTGCCCAGAAAAATTAGTTCTCTATTCTCCAGATAACTTTTAATTATGTCAAATAGATCTCTTGAGATGTCAATTTCTTTTAATATAGACAGTAGGCAGAACCAGCTAATAGAGTCAAATGCCCCTCGGACATCGAAGGAAACCAGGACTACATGTTTACTTTGTCGCTTTTCTCTACCTTCTTGGATCACATTGTATAATGCTAAATCAGTAGACATATTCTTTCGAAAACCATATTGATTTGAACTGATAATATTATTTTTGTTAAAAAATGCTCAAGTCTTTTTGTGATGAGTTTATCTAGGATTTTCGCATGGGTCTTTAATAAGCACATGGGTCCACCTGTAGATCTAGGCACAAGAATCAATCTTCCTATTTTTCAAATATCAGGAAAAGTCATTAAAACCATACATGTATTGTAAAGTAATATATAAAAAGAGGTGAAATTCCCCAAAAGAATTCTAATTAAAGTAGTCCCGATTCCATCAAGTCCAGGGTTATGACATCTCTGAGGCTAGAAATAACATGAAATATCTCTTCATAAGCAAACGCCCGCTCTACCTCTTTGTTGCCTTCCATAAAAATGTTTCCATAATCATGATAATTAGAACAATAATCCAGCCTCAGGGTGTCTTTAATCAACTCATCATAACATTCCATGGCAGACATGTATACACTACAATTATCTCTATATAAAATAACTTTTTCCTTTCCTTTATTTGTGGCATATTTATAAAACTTGTCATAATAAATCTTGTTTTTATTGAACAAATAATTTCGAGAGTCTCTCTTTGTCGTTTTTATTGCTTTTTTAAATACCGCTAAATCTCTTTTGTAATTAAGTTTCCTTTGTACTCTAGTCTCCACGTCCAGACACTTTATCTGAGAACTTTTCTTGAAGCTTTTGTCTTTCGTCTTAAAATATCTAATTCAGGGGTCCACCAGGTTGTCTTCTGACACTCGTTCTTTATTTTATGTCTTAAAAGTTTATCCATGCTTATTTTAATCTTTTTTTCTTAGCCTGAGGACCACACTATTCAAACTGTCTCCATCCCTATGGAGGTATTATTATTAAATTATTAACAGAGAATTGGTATACGAATAATGTTGCAAAAAATTTCAGAACTGTGAAGGGATTTGGGGGAAAATGTATTTTATCAAGCTATCACCAGTTCTGCGTGCATTCAGTGTATTAGAAACCCTCATGCACGAAACGATATGTAACACTAAATGTTTCTGACACGTCTTTCACGCAAACTTATAATTCACTGCAATCGTTAAATTTAGTAAAAGAGTTGAACTTTGAAAACCTAATACTAATGGGATTAATACTGCATGGAACCAGCATAATAATTCACTATAGATATTATTTGATAAATTTGAGCGAATATATATCCCGGCTTTTTAATAGATGATTTCGAAATTCTTACAGGAAAATAAAGACAGACAAGTTCATTCGCCTTAACATACATATTAAAATAAATTTTGACATTTTAATAAAACCATTGAACATAATATGTTTAGAGTACTACGTACCTGAATGTCCTGAATTCGCACCAAATCCCCATGCATTCGAGCCACCTAAAATGAACAAATATGCAGCAGTTATAGCTTTCAATATTTTAGGTTTCCTGTGATTAAATTGCTTCTTTTTAATAAGAATAAATCCGGAGACGTAGATATATGATTTAATGTTAAGGTCCGTAAATAATGCGCGTTTACAGGTATACACCAGGTATATTTGGGCCAACTCGAGGTAATTGTGTCCTAATTCGCTGATTAATTTTTTTTTTCTTATTATTAGTTCTTTATACTTTCTACTTGAAATTAAAGACAAAATGACGTTTATTATACGCCCCAGAGGAACCATCTATTTATTAACTTTCGGTTGGAATAAAAGTGTAAATTATTATTTCTTTGGGCTTGTTACATAAACTAGAGGAACTCAGCGAATAGTCGAAGCAAATTTCATAAGTATTCCTGCTTACTAAGAAAACTAATTTAGTTAGAATATTAGTACCTCATTTCTGGTTAAATACTAAAACCTTTGTGAGATATTTGGGCATTGAAATTTTTATTACATATGCCAATCTCTACCGGTGTTTAACACATTTCGACAGCTTTTCTTAAATAGATATTTGACAATAAATACTAGGCTTATTAGGATCGCATGGACAATTTCAATTTCTCCAAAAATTTCACTCTTTGTTTAATATTATTAAAAGACATGAAAACCTATGTAAAGCTTTCAGATGTCTGAACATTCACCGTCAGGCGTATATTTTTATTTTTATACATCGCAGTGAAAGCTGTGTTCTTCCCATTTATTTTAGCGTAAGAATGGTTTAAACTTCTGAAATTTGTCCTGCCAAAGTTCTTTCCCTAAATTAGGGAAGCTGTGTCTTTTCGCCCTTGAACATGAAAGGAATTTGATGAATATATAGCAGATTCAAATTTTCAATCACGGACTGCATATTTTAAATTGATGTACAAATGGTGATTCCAAATTTATGCTACAACCTTTAGGGAATGGTTCAGAACAAAGATATGAATAATATTCACATCGGAACCTATGGTCGCAATCCATATATTTATTCATAAATACCAAATTAAGAGCATTTACATTAAAAAAACTGTAGATTAGATAACATACCGCATGAATTGCTTTATAAGAACATATATAAAATACACTCACGTCCATAAATTAAGGATAATTCGGAGTCACGCGGAAATAAAACTCTAAAATAAATATATCACTTGTAAAATCACTACACACATCTTCAAGAATCATATGCAAATTTCGGGAAGTAACCAGATGACACCGATGGTACGGCACAGTGACGAGAGTGTAAGAGAGTGATATATAAGGAATACAGGCAAAGAAGTAAAATTGTTCGCAGGCGCTTTAGAAGCATTTCAGTGCAATAACCGAATAGTTATAACACAAAAGGACGTATTTGGATGATATTTTACGTGGTAGAATTATCGGCCGTCTGGAATGTGGGCGTACCCAACTGGAAGTATCAGACGAACTTGGAATTGCCCAGAGTGTCATCACCAGGCTTTGGCAACGATTCCAAGACGATGGTAATGTGAGTAGACGTTACAGCACAGGTCGCCCCAGAGTTACAACGCCGAATGAGGACTGGCATTTGGCAGTTACTGCCAAAAGAAACAGGCGGAGCACAGCCTCAGACCTGTCTCGTCAGCTCACTTCAGCCACTGGTACAACAATTTCAAGGCAGACCGTGTACAGACGCTTAGGGCAGATTGGTTTATATGCTCGTAGACCTGTCAGATGACACTTACTGCAACTCACTGTCGCCTGCGGTTAGCCTGGAGTAAAGCATGCATTGTGGACACCGCAACAGTGGGCTTGTGTGATGTTTTCCGACGAGTCCAGGTATAGCTTGCAGTCTAATTCTCGCCGGACTTTCATATGGAGAGCTCCAGGTACCCGTTACCACCAAGAAAACATTATTGAACGACACCGTTACGGTGGTGCAGGAGTGCTCGTTTGGGGTGGAAGTATTCTGGGTTCCAGAACTGACCTGCATGTTCAAATTGGAACTATGGCAAGCCAAATCTATCGGGACGTCATTCTGGAACAACATGTACGTTTGTTTGGGGCGCCATGGCCGCACAATTATGGATGACAACGCCCGTCCTCACCGTGCAAACATCGTAAGCGAAAGCCTTCAATCGGAGGATATCACCCGTATGGACTGGCCAGCATTCTCTCACGGACTTGAATCCAGTAAAGCACGTATGGAACATGCTTGGCCGACGAGTTGCACCCCGTCAACCTCCTCCTACATGTCTACCGGAACTTCGGAGAGCATTGCTTTTTGAGTGGTGTAGGATCCCCCAAGATCAGATCGATAATTTGATACTCAGAATGCCTACGCGTTGTACGGACTGTATTGCATCGTCTGGGAGACATATTATTAACAATCATACCAACCATGTAATATTTGTTTTTTGTAAATTGTTTTTTTTTTGTAATTTGGTTCAGGGAGGAAAAATCGCTAACTTTTTTAATAATATCAAACATATAGCATCTTTTTTGCTCTTTACCTTTTGTTTAATAAATAAGCTTTACAAATAAGTCAAATTTGTTTTGATTCTAACTCTTCTTTTGCCTAATTTTGCATTATCCTTAATTTATGGACATGAGTGTATCTTTTTCAAACTACGTCACGAAAAATATTTGCATATTAGTAATTTGCATAAATATGTATCGTTGTTGTAGAAGGTAGTAGGTGCACATGTTAGCAGGGAAAGTTGCTATTCGCGATTGTACTCTCCTCAACGATGAGAGACTTTTACGTATGCCCGAAAGAGCAGATTATGGAATACACGCACGGCCATGCAAACGGTAATGCCAGACCTGGGCAACAAATGTCACACGCGCAGTTTCCGGTTAGGCGAATAAGAGATCACAGAATGTTTTATCGATGACATCGTAAAATTTGTTAATTTGTTTTGTACTCCTCCTCAGACACGATTCTCTTGGACAAAGAACTGTACATAATGCAAGATTTGAAGAAATACTTTTGACTCACAAACCGCGAATCAAGTACAAGACCAGTTGGAAGAAGCTTAGGTTTGAACCAACGTAATATTTGGAGAGGGTTAAACGAAAATCGCTTGCTTCAATTGCATTCACTGTGATTACAAGCCTTGCGTTCCCCAAGACTAGGCTCTAAGCATGAAATTCTACCAGTTCTAAACTGCAGGAATTTCCATTGCACCTGTAATTCCCAGCTCCAGTGCTGATTACAGATGACGCGACATTTACCCGCCAGAGTGTATTTCATGCGCATGAGTTTCATCTATGGGCAACTTAGAATCGAAACGTAGGACCACATGTATCTGAATAAAGTATCAGTGTGAATCTGCGGTCAGGCATCGTCCACGAATTTTAAAATGGACCATACCTACTGATACTGCAAAGAATCAAGAACAAAAGTTATCTTTTTTTCTGGAATAGGTGTAGCCAGAAATGTAGCGTCGAATATCAGTAGCTGCTCCATGTGTGCGTGAATGACCTGGAATCTTTGGAAGTCTACAGATGTCTCCCCACCGATGTTGCCAAGCATTTATCACTGTTGGTATGTTGGTAGGAAAACGGAGTTTTGAACTGTTCTTGTAAACATATTGTTTCAGTTAAGGTCAGACACTCCGCATTTATGCCTCAATAAATGGATTTCGACCTAATTTTACTATGTAGATATTGTTTAAATCTTAGTTCTGTACCTCAATTTCAAGTCTGAACCATGAAATTTGAACATTCGGAATAGCATAGTAAAAACTCATTAAAAGTAGAAAAAAAAATCCCAAATAGTATTTTAGAAAATATATCCAAAATAAAACATTTATTAGCAGCAAAACGACCGATTTAAAATATTGATCTGATGTAAAACTTACTCATCGTCTGAAAGTAGTGTATTAGACGTGAGCTTATATAATAATCTTTAATTTTTTGCTGAATACATGAAAATATGAGCAATGTTTTTCTGATAATAGCAGGTGATGTTGCACTGAAAATGCAACTATGATTCAAGTCACTATGAATTTCGTACATAAAAGGTAATTTTAGTGAAATAATATGTGCAATTTCTCTATTTTCCCACATGATAATATAACCTGGAAAACAAGAGAGAAACGATGTTTTGCTTTAAAATTAAGAACACAGGAGCAAGTCAATTCAACAATCAGTAAATGGCTATTGCGCTATTTTTGCCAAATATTGCCAAACTGCCGTCTGTTTCGGGGACTTATTTTTATCATCAGAGTTGACGGGAAATGACCAAACATCTCCAAACCTGGCGACCATTTGGCAACATTTTGGTTCGCAACCTGTATAACTCAAATTGAGATTGTAATAGAGTATCTGTAGTTGACACCTGTATTAGCTGTAAACTTATCTGCCCCTGATATGCTTTTCAGGTTTACGGAGAAGCAGAAAGTATCAGAAAAAAGTATATTAAACGAGAAACTACACCAGTTTCTGAGGTTATCAGTAGTTAGTTCCTCGTGGTTCCAAACATTGAAATAATATTTATATTAGCTGCCCTCTTCACATGCGCTTTGTATTGAGCCTATTGATTCTACTCCGTGCTAGTATGAAAAGCTATATGAATTTTGCTGCAGAAAATTCCGGAACTCTGAAGGGCATTTTTGGTAAAATATATTTCATCAAACTTTCCGCAGTTCTGTGTGCATTTAATCTGTTAGAAACACGTTTGCACGCAACGATATGTAACACTGAAATTCCTGCCGCTTCTTTCACATAAAAGTATAATACCCTGGAATCGTTAACTTTTGTCTAAGATTTGTATTTCAGAAATCTAACACTAATTCCATTAATACTAAATGGATCCCGCATAATAATTCACTACAGAAAACATGGAATAAAATTTGATCGAACAAATTTCTCGTCCTTTTTATACACGATTTCGAAAGTCTTACAGGAAAGTAAAGACAAGTTCATTCGTCCCTTACACATATATTATAATTTTTTTTGACATTTTAATAAAACCGTTGAACATAATGTGCATTGAGTACTACATACCTGAACGTCCTGTATCCGCACCAAATTTCCATGAACCTGAACCACCTAAAATGAACAAATATACGACAGCTATATTTTCCAAAATGTTATGTTTCTTGGAATTAAATTGCTCCTATTTAAAAAGGAAAAATTCAACGAACCAAGGAACTATAAATTAGAATTTATTTTATGGCTGTACGTATTACGTGCCTACTGGTACCTTTACACTTTATCTTTTGTAGGTTTATTGTATGGCCTATAGCAAACATCTATTTATTCATCTTCGGTTGGAATAAAAGGGTAAATTTACCTTTCTTTGAACTTGTTACATACACTAAAATAACTCAGCAAATTGTCGCTACAAATATCTTCATTATTCTAGCTCACGAGGAATTCTAGTTTAGCTAGAATATAAGAACCTCACTTCTGGTTATATACTTGAGAAACTGGTGACATATATTGTGATTTCTGTTTTCAGTACACAAGCCAATCTCGACCAGTGTTTACATTGTTTCGGCAGGTTATCTTAAGCATATATTTGACGGTAACATTGCTTACCTTCTTAAGATTGCATTAACACATTTCAACTTCTCAAAAATGTGTCTTCTTTGTTTAATATTACCAAGAGTAATACATGCCTATCTAATGTGTTCAAATTTCTAATATCCGAGTTTCTCACGTTAGATGTACAAAGGTTTTGATTAATAGCACACCGAATGTGAATGTTGTGTTCTATCCATTTCTTTTAGTGTAAAAATGGGTAATCTTCTGCATTTTTTCCTGCCAACGCTTGTTTCCCTGAAAATTCCCTGAAAATGCTTCCTCTTTGTTTATTATTATTAAGAGAGATCCAAACCCATATAAAGTGTTCAGATGTTTGACATCTGAGTTTTTCATGTCAGATGTATACGTTATGCTGTGTTCTGTACATTTTTAGTGTAAAAATATGGGTCTACTCTTCTGAAATTTCTCCTGCTAAGATTTGTTTCCCTGAAAAAGGGGGAGCTGTCTCTGTGCGCCCTTGAATTTGAAAGGAATTTAATGAATATACAGCTTATTCTAATTTTAAATCAATGAATACACTTTTTATATTAACCTAAAATTTGGAAGTACTGTGATGCACAAATGGTGATTTTTAATCTATGGTACAAACATAGAGGGTTGCTCCCGAACAAGGATATGAGTAATATTCACAATGGAACCTATGGTCGCAATCCATTTATTTATTCATAAATACAAATTTAAGAGCATTTACATTAAAAAACTGTAAATTTCAAATGAGTAATATAACACCTCCCATAAGAAGAACAGCACATAGAAAATATCCTCTTCAAACCACGTCAAGAAAAATATTTGCATAAATACTCTGGTGAAATAAATTAAGAGCATTTGAATATTTTATCGAATTGCATGAAAAGAACTGAACTGAAGGAAAAACTACCGCTTTTAGAGAAAAATGCAAATCTTGCACGGCAAATACGTAAGCTTAGACGTGTGTGTAGGCGGAGCCAGCAGAAAAACAGGCTTTATAAGGTAAGACGAACTGTGTTCACTAGCACACATCGGCGAATTTTTTGGTGTTATCTTGCAGCAATCGGTTAAAATCACATCGGAATTGTAAACATGAGTAACCATCAACGTTTAGATGATGGAATGAAGAGGCGTATTTTGGGGTAGCTAGAGGCAGGCCAATCGCAAGTCTAGATATGCAGAGAGTTTACTTTAACGAAAACTGTCGTGTGTAACCTATGGAAACAGTTCACAGATACTGGATTCATCGAGAGAAAGCCTGGGCGAGGTCGTCCAAGCGCTACGACGGCCAGAAAAATCGCTAGTTTAGCGACGCTTATACAGAGGGGCTACAGCTTCTCAGCTCTCTCGGGAGTTGTATGCAGCCACAGGAACCCGTGTAACAAGGGTGACTGTTTCTAAAAGACTGAATGAGGAAAGTGATGTTTGCCAGAAGACCGGCTGTTTACGTCCCGCTCACGTCTATGGACAGGAGGATCCGATTAGCATGGTGCAGGCAGCATAGTGTTTGGATAACGGAGCAATGGGCGACCGTTCTGTTCACCGACGAGTCCCGTTTTAGCCTAAACACCGCTTCTCACTCTACTTTCATATGGAGAGTGCCAGGGAATAGCTAACTACCCTCCAGTGTCCGCGAAATCAACAATTATGGCTGTAAAATAGTCTGGTCAGCAATCATGTTGGATAGCCGTACACGTCTCCACGTCTTTGATAGAGGCTCTGTGACTGGTGTGAGGTATAGGGATGAGATCTTGGAGCCCTATGTTCGTTTTTTCCGGGGGGAGTGGGCCCCGAGTTCATCTTACAGGACGATAAAGCGAGGGCACATAGAGTTCTTCTGGTCGACGAATTTCTCGAGAGTGAGGATATTCGCCGGATGGATTGGCCAGCCAAGTTTACAGACTTATCAAACCTATAGAGCATGTCTTGGACGCGCTGTGGAGGGCAACTGCAACTCGCAACCGCCCTCCGAGAACAATCCAGAAACTGAAACTGCGTTGTTCAATGAATGCGACCAGTTGCCACAGCCACTGGTAAACTGCCTTATTTCCAATATCACATCACGCTGCGAGGCCAGTGCGGCTGTAAGAGTGGACCATCCCCCAATTAACCCATATCTTTCGTGTCTTCTGCAAACGCTGTTTCAGACCTTCAGACTCCCATGAGTGTTACACACGACCATGTGTGTCTATTATAACTGTTGAATTTTTACTTTGTTTGTATTATATCAATCAATGATCACAATTTTTTTTAATCTGTCCAGTAGATCTGGAGATAGTAGATCAAATATGAAAATTCTCTTAATTCCTTTCGCCAGTATATTTCAAGAAGGCACCTGATATCTTTTGCAGTGAACACAACTCTTTACACCGATGCTTCCAAGTATGTGTCGCTGTTGGTAGTCGGAAATTTGAATGGATCCTTTAAACTTCTTGTTTCATATCAAATGAGCACCCCGTATTTATGACTCAATAAATGGATTTCGACCTAGATTCCCTATGTAGATTTGTTTCATATTTTAGTTCTATAAAAGGCTTAAAGTTTGTATCATGAATTTTGAACATTTCGGTGCATAATTCAGACACAATAACACGCCGAGCAAATAATAATTCAGAAGACAAACAACACAAATCAGCGTTATAATTTCAAATTTTTACAGGACTAGTTTCGATGGATTTAAAGAACCAATATCCTCAGTTGCGGAAGCGCAAATGAACGAGATAGAATATAATGATCAGATAAAATAAGAAAGCCTGGACAGGAAATAAGCTAGTGACGCCATCTGTTGATGAAACCAGAACTAAAACATAATTTCTTTAAAGGCCGAAGGCAAAGATGGATTGAAATTAGGACCGTTAACTAGAACAGAAAGATTATTTTGAATGTGAAATGCCTCCAGAAAATCCAGTTCCCCAATGGAAGATGTTTTTTGAATAATTTTGGCAGTAGAAAAATTGAAAGTGTGATTTTCGGACCAACAATGTTGGACAACAGCAATCTTCAGTGTTTCCTTTTTCTAACATATGCCTCATGTTTCTTGACGCGAAATTTTAAGGCTCTCTTAGTTTGGCCATTGTAAATTAAACCACACTGGCAAGGAATCATATAAATACCCCAGGAATTCATATCGGGAATGGGGTTCTTGAGTATGGAACTCGGAATTTTATTGATGGGAGAATAAACGACCTGAAAGTTAAATTTCTGCAAAATATGTGCAACTTTATAGCTAATTGATGGAAAGAAGGGAATGACAACAGAATTTTTATAATCTCCTAAAACAAGAGTGTGCCTGTTAGTGTGTTGGGATGAGAATTTTTTAACTGCTTGATTAATAATGTTGGGTGAAAAGGCCCTGTCAACAGCTATTGCTTTTAAATAATTCAGTTCTTCATCAAGGGATAGTTTGGAGGAGCAAACTTGAAGAGCACGTAACATAGGAATAAAATGAAGCTAACGTTTTTTTAGCCAGATGACATGATTTGAAGTGTGGTGGAAGGCAAACCGATGAAGGTTTACCGTAAACCGTAGTACTGAAGCTGGACGTGTTACGTGTGACCAGAATGTCGAGAAACGGAAGAGAATTGCAAGTCTCAAGTTCAAAAGTGAACTGAATAACAGGATGAATAGAATTGTTGAAAGAACTTTATTTCAATCATTTTTATTACATTGAAACAGGGTAAATGTATCGTCTACGTAGCGGAACCATACCGGGAAGTTTAAAGTTTCAAACAATTTTTATTCATAATAATGCATGTAGATATCTGCCAGGATGGGTCTGAGGGGGCTTCCCATGGCTAATCCCTCAGTTTGCTTGTAATATTTATTTCGGAAAGCAAAATGTGTTTGTTTCAAACTGAGTGACAGAAATTAGCTCATCAATTTCGATGAAAGCGAAATTACATTCGAGAAGTCTGGTTTCTAGACATCTTAATGCACCCTCCACTGGAACATTGGTGAATAATGATTTTACATCAAAAGAAACCATGAGTAAATTTCTAGGACAAATGTTTTTAACCTTTTTTACAAACTCTATTGAATATTTTATGGTGTAAATGTTATTTTCTAATAGAATTGAAAATCTAGAAACTAAATATATAGCTAATGGATACGATACTAAACTCTTCAACGAAGGACCATATAATCCGATCCCCAAAGATTCTTCGCCTTCGGACCTGTCAAAAATAAAAACTTCGATCAGATCTTCACCAATCATTGCAAGCAACTTAAAACATTCGATTATCCCATCTGTTGCGAATTGTGCCAGATTATATGCTCCTTCCAAAATTCATAAATGTGGTATTCTATCCGCCCTATTGTATCAAATTTAGGTACTGCCTCGTATCCATTAACTAAATATTTAGTTTTAGATTTTCAGCTCTATTAGAAAATAACATTTACACCATAAAAAATTCAAAAGAGTTTGTAAAAAAGGTTAAAAGCATTTCTCCTAGAAATTTAATCATGATTTCTTTTGATGTAAAATCATTATACACCAATTTTCCAGTGGAGGGTGCATTAAGATGTCTAGAAACCAG